AAGATCTAAATCCTCGCAGTCGGTGGTGGACAAGTTTTCATCGCTAAGACACAATAAGCGTGTGGAAATCCGCTGGATACCCGGGCATGTGGGGATTCAAGGCAATGATGAGGCCGATAAGCTGGCCAAATCAGCCTTGGGAGCTTCCAATAACCGGTCACTAACCTCAGCTGCGCCCATTCTAGAAGATCAAGATCTAAAATTTGCGGCATTAGGGAGGTGGGTTAAACAGCGTAGCCAAGAGCTCGTGGAAGAGTGGTGGTAGAAGTATCGACCGAAACGATACAAAGATCTGGACCTATTCATGCGTTGCAAAAGTCCACCGGAACTAGCTTTACCAAGATGGGCGTACCATCGTCTTATTGCGGCAAGAATAGGCCACGGGAACTGCGCCGACTACCATCGACGTTTCAACCCCGAACATGAATATCTGAAATGCGTTTGCGGCCGAGAGCAAAGGCCCTGGCATTTTTCAGAGAGCCGACCTGCTTTGCTACGTTGGAGAATCTATGAGAAAATGGCCCCACCTGGGGCCAGGGAAATGATAGGGGAGAAGGGATGGCAGAAGTTCATTCAATTCTTAACTACAAGCCGATGTTACAGTCTGCCGAAGAATGAACAGGGTGGGAGGTGACCACGCTGAGATTGTTTCTGACCCGAGAGTAGATGGGTGTGGAAGATAGGGATGCGGCGCATGGCACCGTAACTCAGACACATACTATTCTTTTTTTTTTTCACTCTTTTCTTTTGTCGCTTCTGGCTCCACTGCCGGTCATGTAGGTAGCAATGAGCTTTCAGAGCCCATCTACCCGTGTCACGTCTAAATAGATGTTAGGTTCTTCCTGTCACGTAAAAGATTTCAAATTCAAATTCACTGGCACGAATAGTAATTAGCCAATAGATGCCAAACGGCATACATTGGCCTCAGGATCTCCAACAACCTTCCCATTTAGACTAGATTAGGAAGTATGTTGGAGTTTTTTTTTTTTTTTGAATCATTTAATGTGTATTCGGCTATCTAGCTATGACACATGACCGGTGCTATGTATACATGTTGGATGACTCTTTTGACGTTAGACACTCATACTCTGGATTTCATTCGCAAGTACCACTATGAGGTATGCTTGCTTACACAAACAGTCAACCCTCCTCCGTAAGTACCCACCAAAGGGAATTTCAAAACCTTTGGTTATCCAAGCATGCCTTCGTCATCCATGCATACCAGCGCCGCGAGAAATGTGATTGTGTTTTGCTGGATTTGAACCAGCAATCTACTGTCTCGAATGGGGGGACTATTCTCAACACCTGTCAGCGGTGTCCCCTACGAACCTCCAGCTCTCACTGTAGAGTCTGCAGAGCCAAGATTGAGTAACAAAGTCCTCACTTCGACGAGGATTCCCAATCGCTTTCGCGGTCTCTATCGTCTTCATCTCTCAACACATTCCCCAATCACCGTTATAATGAAGCTAACCACGATCAGATCAGATGCTAGGGTCGGAGCTCTACTCATCACCAAACCTTGATCACGGAGGAAAAGCCATCCGATGAGTTTCCGGAGCGTACCCAGCACCCGATAGGGAATTGGTGGATTGGATCAAGTCGGCCTCGACTGTTACAAAGAAGGGAGACATAGATGAATATGCGCACCTCATGTGGTCCCGGTGTCTAGGCCTCGCCTGGCTGGGGCTGCAGGTTTTTTGAGACTTTTTCCCGCGCACGCAGTTTCCATTGCTACCATTTTTTTTTGGGGGGAGGGGGGGCAGAAGGTTTCATGGAGAAGGTGGCTGAATTCCACGGGTAAATACTGAGCTGAATGGCTATTCATCAAGGGGAATATATCAATGATCTTTCAAGAAACATGAGAGGCAAGGAGCACTGTACAGGGTGTAATCTGGGTCAGAGAGGGACACAATTTGCAAGATAGTCATAGACTTTAGTAGCGCGATAAACCCACGTACTAATTCACATCCAATTTTTGTCCTCCTATTTTAGAATTAGTGAGACACAATAATATCTCCTAACACCATATCTGAGTTGACACTCATCACTTTTGCAAATCTACACAGCCTATCTTAGAAGACAGCAATCTTCACAAGGGAAAACAAAAAGATCCAGGTGTGCTGATGGTGGCTCTTGTGCCCGAAATTTCTTTGGCGTATTCCCAGTTGCTTACCACCACAGATCACGATTCAGCAAGAAATGGAAGATAATACATAATTTAAACGTAAAAGTTGGGCTCGCTAAACGCTTTGCGCAAAGGATCTTGACAGCCATTGATCTTGTTATTTGAGCCGCTCTAAAAGCAGAACTTCTCTTTTCCAGGAGCTCTGATGGTGAGTTAAGTTTCTAGTGGCAGGGGTTTCCCTGATAATGTACCATCGGGAATGGGCTTAGCGATATTATATAACCTTTAGCAGAGTAGCCCTGACACTTTCAGCTGGGAGGACGAAGGCTGAACACCTGTCAGTGGTGTCCTCTACGGACCTGGGAGTGAAATTTTCTCCCAGAGCCGAGATTCAGTCACGACAAAGGGTGAACTTGAGAGTTTCCGTCGAGTATGCGATCGAGAGGAGTGGTGTTGGCTCATTTTTGGTCGAAAATCCGACCTGCAGAGATTCCACGACTGCACAGCTCAATGAAATCAACCATCTACACCCCAGATACGAACCGCAGACAGCCTATAACCTATCTGATGTTCGTATCACAACAACCGACTCCTTCAAGATCTTATTTTCTTTCTCTGGAAATTCATTCTCAGCCAAACTCATCTTGAGGCCCTTTCCACAATCATCTCATCACCCACAGAAGCAATCCCATACCTCCAAAAGCCAAATCGCCAACAAAGAAGCAAGAGTATGTCCGACTCTCCGCAACTGCCAGTCGCTGTCAAGGTACGGTCGAAATACCGGCCTTAGATGCGTCCTCACCTCGGCCAAGGGCACCAACTCGACCTGCGACGAATCGCCACCGACGAAATACGTACGACATTTCGCCGGCACACCAACCAGAGCATTCGACAAAGGCTGGGGCACCGGTGCTTCGGTCTTGAGCTCTCAGTTGCGTTTTCGATCTCCACGGTTAGGGGTACGGCAGCGACGGGGCAAGGCCGGAGGGGTGGACATTCTACAAAGTTCCTTGGATGATGATATCGGCAGAAGGATAGAGGGATGCTACATGAAGGAACCAAAAGGGAACACAAAATGAGGAGGCCTTCAGTGAAGAAAACGACCCCTGGATGAGATGAGGAGATGCTGAGATGAGCCAAAGCTGCGAATGAATCGAAGGGAAAAGTTACAGACGGCGAAGGTGTCAAGGGCTCGGGCGCGTGGTGGCCGAGGCTGAGGAGGAAATTGCGCTTCGGCGCGCCAAAAGGGGGTTCTCTGGACGGTTAGGCTTGACATGACTCAACACATAAGTGCGTTTTGGCATGGTTCAGGTCATTTGGGTGGGACGAGGCATTTGTACTGCACGGTAGTTAACCTGATCCAGCCCGGCCCCACACGTGCTTAGGCTCGAGCAGGAGTGCAACGGGAATCACTTTACCTAGCACGTAAATGAACAAGACAAGACAAGACACTTTTAACTGGGATTAGAACTTCGCTTAGTAAGGCTATGGCATTGATTACAAGGGACCATAACTTCAGCAATACTCAGGCTTAGATATTTTCTCCGGTATGCAGTGATGAGGTGACGGTACTGGACCGAGGGTTCACGAGTGATTAATTCGTTTAATCATCATTGAGTATACAAATTTTCAGTTAATCTAGCGTTAAGGGCGTCAGTATTATTAGAATGAATCCACATTGAATCTGAGTAGGGAGAAATTCAATCAAATTTACAAGCCATATTACTTCAGTTATACCCTGCCCATCTAACGAGATGTGAAATTGTATATTTCAAAATTTTAAGCTTATCAGGTGACTTGAAGCCTGGACATAACTGAAAATCTATCATTACGATGAGTATCAAAAGAGTAAGGCATCACTTCGTTAGTCCTTGAATAGAGAGGGGGTCCTTCCCTGTAATGTTCCCTCGCAAGATAATTCACAGCTTGATCGTCCAAGATTACGACTTTTTTCTGGTTGTGCGTTATTTTACATTGTTGGGGAGATATCCAGTCGCCTGCTCTAATTCAACTAAAAATAAGGTCCATCTGTCACAAATATTTCCAAGACTTATTTTGACTATGCAGGAATGTGTATGATTGTGTTGTTTAGGTGTCGTTGATGCAAAATAAATTATAAAACCACTTGTAAGAGGATGAGTTGTCCAAATATATGATATGCACCAAAGAAAAACTAATCCTGTTGTGCAAGAGTATGAGGTTCAATATCCAAACTCTGAGGCTTGGAATAATACTAGATAATCAATCTAGAAAAAGGCAATTCTCATCGGTTTATTCCTCAGTATACAAGAGGAGTTTCTTTAACAAAAGAATGAAGTCTCTTGTCGTGTTCATGGTTTTCATAGGGCCTTACAAGCCTTTTCTTGTTTGATGAAAATGCAAGGCATCGAGAATGTAATATTATTTGAACTGAGCACCTTAGATGAGAAGTATTAGCTCAGATCTTATTACTGTATATCCTGGCCAACGACTGGAATGTTTATTCTAGACGAGTGTTATCTGTCTAGGTTTCATCGTCTCGAACAGTGAATCTTAATAATATATGGAAATCAAGTTTAGCTCTGGTACGTGATAACATAAACTTCATTAGAGCCATAAGTACAAGTCGGTCGCTAGATATTTCAGGACTGTCGTATTTGTTTTTCCGAAACAAAGCCAAGTTCTGCTATAAAGGGGGAGGAATCTAGGTTGATATTTCCATGTCTTCATTTGGTTATCCGTTAAAATCGCTCAGAAATAAAAACTCCTAACACCGCGCAATGCAGTCTCACATAACTCCTAGAACAACTAATTTGTGGGTATTGACCTGACAAATAACCTAGCGTTCATCCGTAAGAATAGATAATTCACAGACGTGACACAATTGATTATTCAATTAAAAGAAATGCGTATAGATCTTGGAAGTTTCATGAACTTCCATCTCCTAGATTTGAATTAATGTTGTATGCACCTTACGTGGTAAGCATTCATACCATTTTGAAAGTATTCAGTTCCTCCTTTATTTGCTGAGCAAGAATCGGTGTCAAGCGGTTACAGGTTGCTATTTCGCCACGTCGATCATATTCACCGCTTGGCCATGTATCGTGAAATTGAATCCGTGGACTGAATGTCGCATTTCGTTTGGCGGCAGAGCTTTGAGGAGTGCCAGGGTGGCTTTTCGAGAGACCCTGGAATCTAAGCGGAGTTGTAAAGTAATCACTGGTAACGAAGGGTAATGAGCCAGCAGAGCGATGGCCTACTCGTTCATCTGAGGGTGTGCTAGGTGCAGTTGAGCTTGGAGATTCATTATTTGGCTTTATAGCAGATAATTGAGCACCTCCAGATGGACATGGAAGTGACGATAATGTTGATGATTTGTTGTAGCCTATACTGGATCCTGTGCTTGTAAGCTGTAGGACAGATTAAGTTACTGATGATCCGCGTACTCTTTAAAATACCCTTCTTTACTGCAGATAAGACCTCAGCACGTTCTCTCTCGCTTCCTACTATACTTTTCCTCGAATTTGCGTATTCTGTACCAGTAGTACAATCTGGATGTAGAGTCGTGATGCCTAGAAGAATTAGTGTCAACACTTAATATTCTAAATTTTCGATCTTTTGTAGATCCATACTTTTCTTAACTGTTTCGCGTTCGGCCTCCACCTGAACCATCGAGACTTGAGCCTCGCTTGCGTTTAATGCTGTGTTGGACACTGGCACCCCACATACTGATTTAGGGCGAAAGAGTCCTGCTAGTGATCTGGTTGATCTTTTCATCCCTTTTCCCATTTTCCTAATCATGATGGATGCCGAAGAAGCGGTAGACGATATAGAAATGTTATCAGTAGAGCCGCTAAACATACTACCCTGTCCAGAATATATCCCAGACCCTATTCCCCCCGCCTCTTGTTGTTGAGCTATCTTAACCTGTTCTGCATCCATGGCTTCAATATGAGTCTCATCTTTAACTTTGAGGCTATCAACAGTGCCTCCATTGGTTTGAGTTTCGACAGAAGATTTCAATAGTTCTGCAGCACTACTGAAAGAAAACGCCCGACGTAGACGAAAAGCTTTACCCTTTTTCCCGTCTCGTTCATTCAGAGCCTCTAGTTGAGCAGCGGCAGGGCTATCAGAGGTACTATTTGCGACTTGTGCATAGGTAGGATTTGAAGGTCTTTGGAGTGCGGCGTTCACAGTAGATGCAAATGAATCTTTTGTCGCAGATGATTCATGACTAGCAGCGGTAGGTTTTGACAAGGGAGATGGATTTAAAGCTCGCTTCGCAGCGTCCGTGGACGAGGCTCGGGGAGGAATGCTGGGCTGTCCTGGGGCGGACATTCCATCTCTTAATTTTTCGGGTGAGCTTGAAAAGAGTGTTGGAGACTTTGCCACATTTGGGGGCTCGTATCGCTTAGCCTAGCACATTAACAAAAATGTTAGCAACAGAAACAATATTTGTGCCGAAGGTTTCAGCTGTTAGAAACTGATTAGCCTTGTGGAAATTCTCTCACATACCGAACCAGATCTTAGCCTGTTGCTTCGCATTGAGAGTAGGCTCTCTTCACTTCTGAGGCGTTCGTGCGTCTGTTCTGGGCGGCCCGTAGCACTGCTAGAGCTAGTTGAATGATTTGGGGAGTGCGAAGATGCCGGTCTACCAGACGTAGATTGCCGACAATTAGAATGCGGCCTTCCAGTTGAGATTACTGATGAGGACTCGCCAAAAAATATATTAGAAGTGCTACGGCGACGATTTCCTTTTACATCGTAGACATCTTTGGCACGCATTGGACGTTTTTCCTCGTTTGCAGTGTTTGTGATAAACTCCGGGAGATTTGGCATCTGTAGATTGAATTCTGTGAATGATACCGTCGGCTGTAGGTTGGAATCATTTGTATTGAATTGAATTACTGAAGAGCTTTGAGAATTCACGGATTCGGTGCGTTGATTCTGTCCACGACGATAGCGACCTGGCGTAGGTTTCATACTCTGAGGTGATGAGCCAGATGGATTTGATTCCCCCATATTTTTGGTTAAGGCGATTTCATTCACTTGTTTTGGAGAATTTGCTACGAAAGGGCCCGAGTTTGAGATCGTAGATAAAGATACTTCAGCAGGATATCGTGTTCTGTTTCCAGTATCTCCTATATTATTTGGCATCTGAGTTACGGAGTCTTTATCGTGTCGCGGAAGGAAGTTATTTGTAATACTCTTTCCCGGCATTTTTAGATCTGGCGTACTGGTGAAGGCATAGGGAGCAATTGTAGCAACTGAAGATGAGCCACGGTAGTTGGAAAACGCAATTCCAGTATTCATTCCATGAAAACTATTCCTTTGGGCGTGTGTTTGATTGTTCGCGTGCTGGTTTGACTTGTTTTGGGACGAAGTTTGTAATATGCTTGAAGATGAGCTCTGTGCCTGGAGCATAGTTATAGTGGTAGATTGACTAGGGAACGTTTGAAGAAGTGCAGCCATGGTATATGTGACACAAGTCTAAGGCTATTAAAGTCGATTATACATGCGAATATTCTGTACAATTCAAAGCATACCGAAGATACAGATAAGTTTTTGTAGGAATAATGACCGGTGTAGCCTGTCAAAATTGCAGTTAGCTTTTACCTTGGAGTGAAATTTGCTAAGAGAACTCAATTCAAAACATAATATATATTGAAGAGATGATTGCACTAACCTTTTGTTACTTATAGTTGTTAACCTAGAGGTTTTGGAAGATCCTGGCAGCTTCAGAGCTGGAATTGGTGATTATTACAAGGCTGACGATGGAAGCAAATGTTATTTTCCTGCTAAAATACCGGACCAGCCACAAGATGAATTAGCGGCTTGTGCAAAGCAAAAAGCCCTGGATCGTCTGATAATTTGATGTATTCTTGACACGATGTATGCCTTGAGTTGTAAGTCAGACTTTCGTCAATGATTAGATGAAGCGACAGGTTGGCAAGATTGAGAGCAAAATCTTGAAGGCAAATGGGGCGGGCGAATGATTAAACTATAAAGAAATGATGAAGTGAATGTCGGAACAGGTTGAAGCACTTGTTGATGCTCCCTCAACATCAAAATTAGTTCGGGAATGGGACGGACGGGGTGAGGGAAAGATTGGAGGAACAACAAAGCAGGGGGGTCCGGCGGAACGAGGAGTACATGTTACTAGGCTATTTCAGGAAAGGGGCCAGTGGATATGTTTGGATTTTGTCGATATTTTAAACAAGTATATGACGCACAAGAAACAAAGAAATCAAAGGGGCGAGATTTCCTCCGCACTATTGATTTTCACAAGCATTGACTGAGATTTCTCACACAGAGCTTTCATGATCTTAAGGGTTGTGGATTTAAATTCTCGTCGCACCGTTTGCCTCTAAATTAACATCCATCAGCTGTGAGCTATTCCGAGCGCTAATTAAGGGACACGTCTTTTCTCTGCCTACAGAAAAATCCTAATAAACCCTAAAATTTACAAATTAACTTTTACAAGATTATACACTAGGATTTTTGCTCAGCATTAAAAATAACGGTGGATTTGCGACGGCCAAGGTACCATTAGGGAAAACCTGGGGACATGTTAATGATATCATGGCGTCCATGAGTCCTGTTTCATACCCATCCTACGTGTTTTCTCTCCTACACAAAAGAAGAAAAAAATCAGGAGCCGTGAAAAAAGGACTAGCAGCTCTAAAGGTGATTGTCTTGGACTGGTGTTGACTGTTGTGAGGCACAGTTTTCAGAGAAGACGAATATGAGACAGTAAAGAGAGCTATGATCTGGCAGATCAGTTACTAAACATTAGGGTAAACACTCCGATCGAAGTGACATTGTATATATTAGTGCGAATCAAGGGGCCTGGGTGATTTACTTTGAAACTTGATCGGCTTGGCCAAACGCGCGAACTTTAAATCGTACGCTTTGGGTATGAATTTGATTAAACCGTACAATGGCTTACTAGATTATGTCAAGGAACAAATCGCCGAGATTGTAGCAATCTTTTTGTCGATAACAGGATAAAGAAGATTACAAATTTAGTGCAATGTTGGAACACGTTCTGATCGTTTGAAGTCACATTATTTAATGAGTCGTGGGAATGCTGTCCGCAGCTCTCCTCCCCTTCAGATGCACGGAATTTTTCCCCGTTAACAATGAACAGCTGTCGTAATCGATGCAACCGGAGAGTTGAACCATATTCGTCTATTGGTAATCTCTCCGCGCTGTCTCGGAATTGGGTTTATCGCACCTTCCTGCGACTGACAAATGTGCCGGGCACAGGATTGCCGTGCAAAGTAATATAAACCCCCAAATATATGGCACAAGACCACACTTCACACTCAGGAAGCTAGTGACAAATGTGCTCTTGCAAGCAATACGTACTTGCATGTAGTTGAGAGGAATTGCGCAATGGTACCCGGGATCACAGATGAAGCAAAGCAAGGGAGTTGTCTAGGTGACTGATCAGGATGCCTATGGGGGCAAATATGAGTAAAAAAATGGATGGGTGTATCTGTCTAAAGTTTACATTTCCCCGCACGTCATGCGCCGGGAAACTGCGGCCAGATCAGACGGGCTCAGACAATCGTCATCGCGGTTGGCCGCAGAGCGCACGGGCTTCTAGACCATGCATCGCAAAAGTGCTCTCAATAACCCCGGTCGTCCCAGGATTAGAGGACGACGTTGGTTTGATGCCGATGTACCGGTATCCTGCTGCTCAAACTCAGGAAGGCCCAAGGCACATGGGGGTGTTCGATGGGCAGACTTTACCGCCGGGAGTTTCGCATGGAAATTCTTCAACGCCTTCAACACATTTGAGCTTCACCACTCGCCCAAACGGGCAGTACAAAATCCGCTCAAACAAATCGAGAATTGTCTGAATATGTTAAATTGGTTACTTGTCCCAATGTATGGAATTGGGACAAGCCGATATTGGTCAATACCAGAAATTTCCGAACAATCTACGTCATCAGACTCAATGTGGTGACAGTCAGCATGGACTTATGGTGGGCAATTCTTTGAACTGCATACTAAGATCAAACATTTCTAGAATGTGTGTTGCTCTCCTATTGTTATTAATCCACAAGCGTCGACACCAACAGTGAGACAGGATGGTCTGTGGGCGTAGAGCTAAATCGCAATGACTTATGCTTCGGAGAATCAGATCAAATAATTTACGACGCCCGTTAAGTCAATTTAAATAGTGGTCCACTATCCTTGGATTTGGAAAAGCTCCGGGAAATTTTGTGTATGGTTTGTTGCTTCAAAAAAACTTATTTCCAGGACGAGCTTGATGATTCTTCCCACTGACTTGGGCGGATATAAGTTGAATTTTGATTTCAAGAGAATGATTCTGACTTCGATAGAGAGAATTCAAGTTATTGAGACAAATTGAATATTTGGTTCTGGTATTCACGTACCTCTGAAACAAAGACTAGAATAATTGGGAGAAATCTTATCTCGGATGTGGACTTACCACTGTAAGCGAGCGATTCAAGCAGCAATACCATACCGGCAAAATTATGGGAGCAATGACCACCGCTATTACCCCCTGCTCATCGACCTAAGGTCTAGTGTGGCCCCTGTCCCCTGTATCGGTATAGGGGCGCACACCTACTAACAGACAAATCATGTATCTATTTCAGGAAGAAGCTAGCAAGGGCTTGATCCCAATAACTATCTCTTTCGGCTCATTTATACATCTAATATCGGCTTAATAATAAGCTGTGGCAGCGGCATAAGGGTTTTTTAACATCATGTGCAAAGACTCCGGCAACTCTACAAAAAATACTCAGATCAAACGGGTAGCCCGGGTTGTGTTGAAGTGATCAAACTCGGGCTCTACTGTAAATAAATACAGATTCCTGAAGGCCGTTGATTACGACCTAGGCACACTCTCCTTACTCACCGAGACAGTGGGCGGGGGCCTACTGGGATTTTAGGGCACAACACGAATCCTACAGACCCGAAAGACTACACTTCTAATCGTGCTCATGCTCGATACGGAGCTGTAGAGGATCCCGAAAGTGTAAATGACCCTGAGTCCATTCGGGAGTCTCGAAATAGGCAAGAAGGTGGCATATTTGAGGTAAAAAGCCCGCTTGCTCTCCTCTCGGTTTATTTGATATACGTTTTGCTCACCTTCTCCTGCCCCCAGCCACTTTGTGTACGGCAAGCTGATCACGGGCATTGAGTAATGATGGCGCTGCATATTATTGACTTTTAAACCAACAAATTAGGCTTAGGGGCATGCAGACTGAGCTGCTGCTGACAAAGGCGCATTTACTGGCCCATGTGATGTTGCAGACCGGATGTGCCGCCTAGCGCTTAATGCAATCTGTTCGCAATCAGTGATTGGATATCACGGACAAGGGATGCTCTATCAACCTCACCTTGATATCTTGAAGGTTGTATATTCATGGTGTTGATAGTCCGTGTCTAGATCTCTGTACGCCAGAGGATTGGGTGCTATACCTAGAAATTATCACACCAACGATTTAGTAGTATGAACGACACTATCATCTAAATCGCACAGGGTCGGCTGAACTGTAGAAAATTTTGCGTACTGACGCAGCCCGCCGAGATCAGGCACACAAACACAACAGTCCATGGGATCTTTACTCAGGATGTGAAGGATGCACTTCCAAGGAATACTTTAATTTCTGCTAGTAGTGATGAACCCCAGTCAAGTTGTATCTCGCTGTTCTCTTTCTAAGAAATTTCTCAAAGCTCGGTCAGTATGCTCGCCTTTAATGTCTGTGGACGCTCCAACCCGTAAATCTCGGAGTAAACGCCCTGCGATTGATCGAGGACTTTCATTACTATGTAGTCGGGGAGGCGAAGAGTTAATCCGAGAGGGGAGCTGTGCAGGACTGGAGAAGCTAGCACAAAAGGCGTCTATTGAGAAGTTTTCAAAGTCCAAGTCTGTGTATGTTTTCTTCGTTGGAACACGATAAATGACTTCTTTTTGACACATGGAGTAGCAAGTCTCGTTTGTCACTAATATTAGCTTATTATCCTGCTATGATGTACTCACAACCCTTCTATCTATGCACGGGTGCTTGGTTTTTGCCATTGCCTTGGGTCTGTAAATACCCGATACCAGGCACTCCACTCTTGAGCCACGCTAACTTTTTTTACTTCGCTGCACGCAGGAGAGGGGAGGCCTCCTGTCGCTTCCGAATGAATGACAGCTTGATGAGAGCCCAGGACTCACTGACATGGAATGTAAGACACTCCTTAAATGGGGTCGTAGGCCCTGCAGCAATGATGAAAGTATGCATCTTTTACCTCATGCCCGGGTCGAGACCTTGGGCCAATATGTATTCCGATTTTGAAGGCATTGACACGTTGAAAAAATATATGGAGGAACACGGCACTTGAAAATAGATGTCTGAGTGAAGGATAGCCATCAGATTGACGCTTCCAAAATCAAACTGGCCGAATAGCCCTTTAAGCCTACTGGTTGAGTATGAATTGCCGAA